GGCGGTTGAGGTTCGCTCGATGCTTGTGGGAGGGGCAAAGCTGAGGGACTACTAGACTTGCGTCTGGATGTGGTCGGGTATGGTTGCTTCGCCTCTCCGGCTCCCGGTATCGTAGCAGGAGCTTCGAACCGACCCTGTCTAGTTCTTATGTTTGATGGTTGATTGCTCTGCTCGCGTAGTCCCGCATTGGTAGCTCGGGACGCAGAACTTGACGTGGGTTGGTCGAAGCCTCGGGGCATGAGACGCTAAATTTTTGGATAATGCGTTGCAGAAGTGAGAAGGGTGATGTTGTAGACGCGTGGTAACTGTTGATTGTGTGTAAGGAAAACTGCGATTGCTGTGGTGAAGTAAGACAAGCTGTAACGAAGTAAGACAGAGTAAGACTGGGTGCTAAAGAAGTAAGACAAACTGATAGAAGTGTAACAATAAAAGTAGTGTAGCTCGTAGGGTTGCTGGTGGGCTAAGGTACGGTCGGTCCGGATTGCAGAGGAATGTGGTCAAGAGGAGCGAAACTGCAAGATGTTTGGAATGTTTTGGTCACCTCAGGGAGCTCCTTCTATTCTTTGACCACGGAAAGCACGCATGCTCTGTGCTTGCTACTATACATACCGCGCATGCCGTACTCAAGGAACGCTATTTACACATTTACTTCAATGCAGCCTGCAGGCTCTCTAGGACCTGGGTCTTGTCAGCGCTTCCTGCTAAGATGTGTTTACGGTGCGTACCTCGAGCTCGATCTTGGCCTCAGCAATGTCAGCCTCACTGCCGTTTCCGCTGGCAATCTTCTGTGCCTCGCCGATCTGGTTCCTGACAGCCTATCTCCTTGTCAGTCGTTGTTCCCCATCTCCGTGCATCCGCTCATACCTCGGCGCTGAAGTCCTCCAATGGGTAGCCCTCGACGGCGTTGATGCTGAGGACGGAGTTGGGCTGCACAACAGCAAATCCACCAGACAGGAAGAATTGCTTGCTGCCACCCTGCTCCTCGATGATCTCGACTAGGCCGGGCTTCAGCTGCTCGATGGAGGCAACGTGGTTGGCCAGAACACCCATGTCACCGGTCTCCGCGGGGAGGTTGACCTGGACGCTGTAAAACATTTCATGTCAGTATTCGCGATTTCGCTTTGCGGGATCGGCCGGGCTCTCGAGAGACGTACACATCCTGGGATTTGTAGATAGACTGTTGACCACCAGTTAGCCTCTCAATTCAGATGCCAATTGCAACCTGGGGTATGCCCCCGCATGTTGCGACAGCTGGTATGGCGTACCTGATGCGGGAGAGCTAGGGAGAGCTTGATCTTGTCATTGGCGACTTCGGCGTACCCTCTGCGCTGGATGGGGCGGGCAATGGCAGCGGGCCTCGCGCGGAGGGCAGCTCGGGCGATGCGGAGAGAGCTCATGATGGACGGGGTGGTGGGGAAGATGTGGTCGGAGAATGTTCAATGTCGGTGTTCTGCGAGTTCTGCGCTCCCTCAGGTCACGGGGTTAGCCGACGCTAGCGCATCACCAACATCTTGACCATCTGAACTGGGTATCACAACACTGCACGAGAGCGCTTATTCTTCGCTCAACTACGTATCCAAGGCATTCAATGGGCTGTCTTCTACAACCTATCGGGAAACAAGCTGCATTTCATTAGCGTCAACCTAAAATTCTGATCCTAACTGCTGTTGGGAACCTTCATGCACCAGGCGTCAAAGGTCAACTAAAGATTCGCATTTTGTTGCATTCCTCAAAATTACGTGGGAATAACATGGTGTCTGTATTCAACTACTCCGGGGTATCTTATGCCAAAACGCCTGTTCCAAGATTGTGAACTCATGCGGCCCATATCATTGCTGACAGGCCAACTCATGCTTTCTCTGCGCTAATGTAGCAAAACATCAATCATCGTATAACTGCTGCGGTGCGGCCATGCTCATCCGCAACTGCCGCTCCCTCTGCTTCGCCTGCAACTCTAGCGTCTCCACGGCATAGCTAAGCCTATCCTTCTTCGCCTTCAAGGTCTTCATCCTCATTTCTTGTTGCGCGCTGATGGTTTTGCCTCCACTTCGCTGTGCGGTCCTGCTTGCTGGTCTGGGACCTGAGCTGCCATTGTTGTCGCGTCCGAGTCTACCATCGTTCAGGTCGCATTTCGCTATCAAGGACTGCTCGCGACGCTCCAGCTTGTCGAGGTAGTTTTCTACGCGCTTAAGAAGGTTATCGACCTCGGGGCGGATTTCTGAGAGGAGTGCTGATTGCGCGGTTTGGAGGTCAGACTCGGAGATGAGTTCGAAATGCTGTTCCAGGGTCAACACGATGCAGGTATAATCATGTTCTTAACGTGTACACACCCGTGTCGTCTGCAGTACTTTGGCCAATCGAGGGAAGTCGCTCACGCCTTGGTCCAGTATGTTGATAGACGAATCGAGTAATTGCATACTACTGCGCAGCGAGCCTACGCATCCTTCCAGCGCCATGATTGTGATCGGTTCGGCAATCGCAAGTGTGATCTGGACGCGAGCGAAGTGGGATGTTGCTCCCTCTTAGTACAATGGTGTGAGGGATCCGTGCGCAGACGCCAAGCATCTCCAGGGCTGTTCTTCGAGCGGAGCTCAACCCATCACCGCATCCCTCGCCGCAACCGTCAAATCAGTCCATTGCCCCTCCAACACACGTCACAATGCCTCTTCTCGGAAGGAAGTTCCCGGCGCAAATCGGTACGACACCCTGCACGCGCAGATAGTGGAAAGTCGAGCTTGAAAAGATTGCTAACGAGGTACTACAGCCAAGCCCATGTGGCCATTCTACGTCTCCGGTACGTTGCGCGACTTAGATTAGGGCAGAGAATACTTGGAGGAGCCCAATTGATGGACCGGAGGGAGATGGAATTGCTTGGGAGCCGAGGGCTCGCAGTGTGAGACAGGATTAACAAGAGTCAATAGGCCTCGTCATCCTCTACGGTGTCAACTCTGCCGCCAACGCCATGGCCCAGTGTACGTAATCCCCATCCCAGAGACGAAGCCATCCAGCTCGATCCATGTTCGCAGGCTGACCAGCACAGCCGATGAGTACAAGAACGACCCGCGCAACCCAGCCCTCAAGAACCAGGCGCCGAACCACTAAGCCGGATACTTCGCGATACGGGGAGCGGTCTTTGAGCATACGAGTGCAATCAGAGGCAGTGTATAATAGCCGTGGAGGAGGAGGATCATTCAAGGTCTCCGACTGAGATGGCTGTATAGACTTGGCAAAATCAACCCATCACGAACATATCATCTCTTGTGTTCTGCGGCTCTGGTCATGCGAGTGCGTGTCAACTGAATTGCAGGCAACTTTCCACGCAGAGATCGCTACCACGTTGCCAGGGAGCGTACTTCGGCTCAACCCAAGAGGATCAGACTATGGTCGGGTTTAATCCCATCTACCAGGCGGTTTCCGCATGCAGATCACCTGCTGCTAGACTATGTTTGACCTACAGACTATTCCAGATTCCCTTCGAACCTGTTTGTCACTACATGTTGATGGTGTACGCTGTCAAGATGGTATTCGGATGTTTCCGGTATCGAATGTTTCTGACATAGCTGAGCAGCTCTACAAAGGAGATTGTATAACTGTCCTCGCTATGAGAGGCGGGATGTGATGCTGTATCAGACCATGGGCACATGCTACGCGGTGCTTCATACAGTAAGTATAGCGGGTTCGGTTAGCAGGCATAACTATATAGTCCGAAGAGTTCTGCAGATGTGATGTCACAGCGAGAGAGTTGGGAGATAGTGTTAGGACCACCTTATACAAGAGAAAAACTAAACACCTAGAAGCCTACGTTGCTGTTAGGCTACTAACTTTGTAAGCTTTTATCTTAATGTAGGCTTTTAGGTGTTTAGTTTTTCCCTTAAATAGAGTAGGACTGATACTTTCCTTTGTTCCGAATGAAAAAGCATCTCGCTGAGCGCTATTGTGTTGTTGAAAGGTCTTGTACGGATATACGGGACATTCTTCATGGGGTAGTTTCTGGCTTTGAACGATGAAACTGTTATACGCAAGTGGTGTTTGCCTAGTCTGAATTATGATGTGTTTGCCGTACCCGACCTTCGTCACGAGACAGTTTCGGGCCGCAGTCTTTCCAGAACATCGGCTACGACGAAATTTCATTCTAGCAGCGGGACGGCGTCTGCAGGACGTTCTTGGTCAAAGTCAAATATAGCGCAATCGGTTCGCGAACTGCGCGAGATGCATAAAGGGGTAGATCTGTGGCTCAGTCGCATGATGCGGCAGTCAGGCGACGGCATTTGAAACGGGCAGTGGCATTTCGACAGTGACACCCTGGACATGTGCGGACACGCACGACGCAAACGGCGGTGCGATGGGTCGTGATGCCTCCGAGCGGCTCAGGGATGTGATTTGCGGTCCGCATGCTTGATACACGGCGGCGGGCAGCGGGCAGCAGTCCACGGTGAAAGAGCTCGCTAGCGCGCCAAGGACGGTGGCCGAATACAAGGCAGGTGGCTCTCATCCTGCCATCAGCGTTCCTTTGATACAGCACCACGATCACAGTGTGCTTGTTCTACCGGCCTCTTGTGCTGTCCCGTGCCCTGCAGCTGCCTCTCTGTGTCGTTTTCGCTAGAGTTGCAAACCTCGCCCGCCCGCCAGCCCGCACCTACGCTCTCCGGCATCGTTGATCGTTGGGCTCATTCACGCCCTACAGTAAGTCCTGCCCAGCTCGTCAGTCGGCTCCGCCCTCTGCCCCCGGTGCCCTATTTATCTCTCACCACGACGCACCTGCTCGCTGGCCTTTCCTTTACCTGTCGGTCAACACGCTCGACTGCCTCCCTTAGCGTTTCTCGGCTGCCCGCTCCGCTTACTCACCGCCTTGTTGGCTAAAGCCTCATACTGACCGGTCCACCGCAGCAGGCTGATCCTCAAAACACCACCGCGCCCCCATCGTCACAACACTCGACCCACCCCCCTCAACACCTCCCTCCACCACAGGCCAACCTCCTTAAGGTTGCACCTCTGCAAGCATGACGACAATGGTACGCCCCGACCCCGCTTGCCGTCACCACGGCGGCCAAGCACCGCTCCGCAGGACCCCAGGCTGACAGTAGCAGGACCTCCGCGTCGGCAACAAGTACAGAATCGGCCGCAAGATTGGTAGCGGCAGTTTCGGTGACATCTACCTCGGTACGTAGCCGCCGCCCATCGCCCACCACCCCCAGCACCGCTGACGTCTACAGGTACCAACATCATCTCTGGTGAGGAGATCGCCATCAAGCTCGAGAGCGTCAAGGCGAAGCACCCCCAGCTCGAATATGAGGCCCGCGTCTACAAGTCGCTCGCTGGCGGTGTCGGCATCCCCTTTGTCCGCTGGTTCGGAACCGAGTGCGACTACAACGCCATGGTCCTGGACCTGCTCGGCCCTTCCCTCGAGGATCTCTTCAACTTCTGCAACCGCAAGTTCTCCCTGAAGACTGTTCTGCTCCTCGCCGATCAGCTCATCTCCCGCATCGAGTACATCCACGCCAAGTCCTTCATCCACCGCGACATCAAGCCCGACAACTTCCTTATGGGCATTGGCAAGCGCGGCAACCAGGTCAATGTCATCGACTTTGGTCTGGCCAAGAAGTACCGCGATCCCAAGACGCACTTCCACATCCCGTACAGAGAGAACAAGAACTTGACTGGTACCGCCCGCTACGCCTCCATCAACACTCACTTGGGTGTCGGTACGTATCCCGCACATCATCCAGCTTGCTAAACTAACATGACCAGAACAATCCCGCCGTGACGACATGGAGTCTCTGGGCTATGTCATGCTTTACTTCTGCCGTGGATCCCTTCCCTGGCAGGGTCTTAAGGCGGCCACCAAGAAGCAGAAATACGACCGCATCATGGAGAAGAAGATGACGACTCCCACCGAGGTCCTCTGCCGTGGCTTCCCCAACGAGTTCGCCATCTACCTCAACTACACCCGTTCCCTCCGCTTCGATGACAAGCCCGACTACTCGTACCTCCGCAAGATTTTCCGCGACCTCTTCGTCCGTGAAGGCTTCCAGTACGACTACGTGTTCGACTGGACCGTCTACAAGTACCAGAAGAACGCCCAAGCCATCGCCCAGGCTGCCAACCAGGGCCAGGGCGAGGAAGACGACAAGGGCCGCGGACGCCACGTCACCACCACCGCCGCTGCCAACGCGGGCACGGCAGCTGGCACCAAGCGCGGTCCGGTCAACGCGCGCCAGGAGGGCACCGGAATGTGAGTTCGATATATCTGATCCTCGTAAGGGACCCTCTCCTTTGCGTTTGGTGTTGAGAACGCTTAGCGCGGGGGGCGCCAGATCCAGATTTTACTAACCTTCTTCCTTCTTTCAGGCAGCTTCGTTCGGCCAACAAGCGTGGCGGGGACCAGTATGCATCTGGTTACTGATTTGATGCGGCTTTCGATTCGTCATCTCAACTCTTGCGTGACCGCTTCTTCTGACGCGGCTCCGCACACACAACGAATGGGAAATGCGGCATTGCCGTCCTGGCAACATATTGGACGGCGTCGCTCCTTGATCAGTTCATGGGATCCATTCGTCAGACACCTCGTACGGACCTAGGAAGACATTCCACTGTCTTGCGTTTCTCACGGCCATGCGTCTCTGACGACTATCTCACATCTCTGGAAGCTCGACCCACACGGTATCTCCATTTGGCATCACAGTTCGGCTTGTAAACACATCTCAACTCCTTCCGGATTACAGCCAACCGATTATCTTGGTCGTCCTGCACAGCTAGTGTTACTGGGCAGCTCTCCAGCTGATGACTGATCTTTGTTTGACTTTACGGCTTTCACCTCGCATTAATTATCCCCTGCCCCCTCGTCCTTTCATGTGGTTCTTAGTACTTTCCTTGAGTTTCCCCCCTTCGGATATGTCTGCCAGCTTGTGGGGAGGTAAAGCTTAACAAGGGGACGATTTTAAATTGTATCTGGCGAAGAGTGTATGTGACTGAAGCTTGGCTGGTAGACTCGAAGGGTTGCAATGGGGTTGGCGGCTAGTAGTCCGCGTGATTGACGGATCTCCATCAAGGAGGCTGCTTCCAGGGACGGGAAAGGAACATCTAGCTCGCCACGACCATTGCGCTTGGAGATGGGGAAAGGGGACGTGTGGTGCGAGTGATGGTGCTTTTAGTTTTGTTTGCTTTGGAATTATATGCTTTTCTCGCACCGCTGATTGAATGTTTTGCGTGATGCCCGTGACTGGTATACTGCTTGTGACTTGACTTGCTTGATGGGCCAATGAAGAACTACGGATGGATACTCCAGCTAGACTTCGAGCTTCAGCGAGGATGTGATGCAGTTTTCTTTTCTTACATTCATCTGAGTCGGCTAAAGCTGCAATAACGCAGAGCGAAGAGCAACATCTTCATATTTCGAGTGTTATGGACTTTCCAGTGCCATTTGTATCTGCCTTTCCAGGCTATCAGGACTTTGCGCGTGGAACATGAACAGGTGGTTTGGGACTGTAACAAAGATTTCGAATCACATGCTTCAGAATGGATTCACAAAAAGGCTAGGTGTTCTAGGGATATACCTTCACAGTACTACGGGTTATAGTTTTTGATGCTGTGCACCTTGTGCGAAATGTGGCTTAAGATAGTGACTTTGCCTGCTTCACACGGAGTGTGCGCGTGCGCGTCATGCGGTAAGTACGATTTACTATCTTAGAGTTCCTATCAGATCTCATTGAAAAAAGCGCGAACGATCAAATTGATTCCGCACATGAGTCCGTTAAGGCTTCTGTGCTGTGCATGCGATGTTGTGGATGTAGTAGCCCGTGATGACGTGCCTCGTAACCCTGCCGAGGTAAAACGCGACATCGTTCTTCACAGTATTGTCAGCAACCCAGGCACAGGTACGCGACTACATCACCTCGCTGCATCATCTCTCATCACGCAATCAGCATCAAAGCATAACATCTAATTGCTTTGTTCTTTAGATCGCGTTTACATGGTCTGACTCGACAACACATTCAACACTAGACTTCGTTCAGTCGCCCGAACCGAGGCCTGTCGCGTCTTGCGGGGAAAGCTTACTATTCATCTTCCACAAGTACACTCCGTCTCGATAGTCTGGAGTTTCATCACCCATCTTACCATCCACCTACCTAAAACAGAGTGTTATTAGGAGAATCTTTGCGACATCGTAATCGGTGATCTGCTCTACCGCCTCAAAGAACAGCGCGAAAGAGCCAGGAAAACAAACATCATGACTTCTTCATCGGATTACTCGGATATCAAGTTCGAGATCAAGGGCAAGATCGGTATCATTAAGGTAACATTCAAAGACCCCATCATCCATCCGTGCGGCACACTCCCGAATCCGTCCGGACGATCTTGCCAATTCACCCATGGGTAAACATCACAGCATGCGTCCGCTAACACATCCATTAGTTCAACCGACCCAAGGCCCTGAACTCTTTTGGCGGAAACCTCATTCCCGACATCATCGCCGGATTACGCGTTCTCAATGAGCACCCAGACACCATCTTCACCGTGCTAACAGGCGAGGGACGCTTCTTCTCGGCTGGCGCGGACGTCAAGGGAATCGCTGGAGGAGGCAGCGAAGCCTTCAAGAACGATGCGGAGAAGAAGCTGAGTTATATGTCAAGGTTCAGCTATGGTATGTCCGCCTCTTGATCTTGCTTATACCGCAACTTTATTTTCATGTTGAAATGTGATGGCACTTCTGAATTGTAGTACTAACTCTGACATGGGCACAGCAACGGAGCTTCTACGTTCGATGATCGAGTAAGTCTACCTACACTCATGTATTCCCACACAGCGAAACTGACACCCCACAGCCACCGCAAAGTCCTCATCCTCGCGCTCAACGGCCCCGCCGTCGGCGGCGGCGCAGCCTGGTTTCCAGGCATCGCCGACATCGTCCTCGCCTCCTCAACCGCGTGGCTCCAATGCCCCTTCTCCGCCCTCGGTCTCGTCCCCGAAAACGGGTCCGCCCTCTCCTTCGCGCAATCCATCGGCATCCACCGCGCAAACGACTTCCTCATGTTTGGCCGCAAGCTCTCCGCGCAAGAGCTGCTCGATGCCGGCTTGTACAATTACGTGTGGGATGCTACTGGCGACGAGTTCCATGGCAAGGTCGAGGCGTTCTTGGAGGAACAGCTTAAAGTGAATGATGGCAAGAGTATGATTGAGATGAAGAGGTTGCAGAATGCACCGATTAGGGATGCGAGGTTGGTGGCTGTGGTTAATGCTGTGGATGCGTTGGCGGAGCGGTTTGTTGAGGGGGCGCCGATGGAGAGGTTTGAGATTAAGAGGAGGGAGATGGAGGAGAAGAGTAAGGCGAGGTCGAAGATTTGATTGGAAGGTTTAGATGGGAACGCTTCTCGTCCTCCAAGATTATCTGTATTCTATCACGCCATCCTCGTCAAGAATATGAAGATGCGTGTCGTTTCCTCGGGATCTACAACCAGTGATATCCACGCGACACGATAAGCTAACTCTTGTACGAACAATAGATCCAATACAATCGCCGTCGTCGACTTCTGATTTCGTATTCCAGTCTAAGAAGCCCTAGTGAGGAACCACAACAATTCCTGTACACAAGCTTCAAATCCTAAGTATAGGAATTGTGCAAGACCTTTATGCATTCGAAACATCAAACGAATAGTCCAAAGCACTATACATACATTCCCCATCAAGGTCCCCGTACCCACACCCTCAGTCCAATCCCTCAACCCACCCATCCACCTAAGCATACTCTACCGTATTCCTCAGCGTCCCAATCTCCGGACTAAGCGTAACCTCCACGACATCTCCCGGCTTCAAAAACTGCGGCTCCTTCATCGCATACCCCACGCCCGCACACGTCCCCGTCATGAAAACCGTGCCCTTCTTCAGCGTAGTCCCCTGACTACAATAACTCACCAACGTCGGAATCTTGAAGCACAAATCATCGATCCCAGAACTCTGTCTCAGATCCCCATTCACCACCGTCTTGAGATGCAATTTCGACGGATCAGGGATCACGCGTGGGGAGACGAGTTGAGGGCCCAAGGGTGCGTACGTGTCGAAGCCTTTGGAGAAGTTCCATTGTGGGACTGTGCCGGCGAGGAGGGGGTCGCGTTGGAGTTTTCGGGATGAGACGTCGTTGCCGGAGGTGTAGCCGCCGATGTAGTTGAAGGCGTCGGCTTCGGAGACGTTTTTGGCGTCTTGCGAGATTATGAAGCAGAGTTCGCCTTCGTAGTCGGCTTGGTTGTCTTGGGCGAGTTTGGGGATGACGATGGGGGCGTTGTGGTCGTTTAGGCAGGTGTTGGCTTTGATGAAGGTTGAAGGGTAAGGAGGAAGGGTGCGGCCGCCTTCTTGGACTGGACGTGGGGAGGTCAATGGTTTGAGAAGAGGGTATGGGGTGTGTGAGAGATACTTACTGTGTTTGATGAAGTTTAGACCTATGCACCGGATGATGGGTACTTCGTCTGTGGTCACGGGGCCTAGTAGCTTCTTGACGGTGACTTCCTCATCGGTAACCTTGGTGGCGGGGTCAAAGATGTCATTGTTCTTAACATCGATTACCTTGGCCTTTAGTCCCGTCTCTTCTGTCGTCGTACCGACATCGAATTCTGGCGAGGGGAGGATAGGTTGACCCCGCAGCTCACGCCCATCTGTGGCGATGAAGCGGATAAGTCTGTCCCAGTTTGGTGCCATTGTGTGCAGTAGATACGAAATGATGGTGGAAATCTTGATCTTCCTACAAGTAGTGTTCTACGTATTTGAAGGGCTAGGATCGGAGTCTATGGTGGATATATGTTCTACCGGGTCTGCCTGACGCGATGCCGGAAAGATCCATGGATGTGGGGAGGTTCGGAAATGTCGAGCGGGATGCTAGTGCGGGGCATTCTTTGCGTGAACTTTGTTCAGGAACGCGCGGATTAGGTCTTTTTCGGGGCTTGTTGTGAGACCGTAGTAGATGATGGTTTCCAGTAGTCTCCACGGGCTTCGCTAAGTTTGAGAGTAGACGTTCGTGGTATACAAGCAGATGGCGACACGGAACAACTCTTTAACGGGTTCGTCATGCACTTACAAGACTAGAACAACTACTCCTATACAGTCATAATCTATAAAAGGCATTGCTGCTTAGATGAGGGGAATTAAACATATTATACAGCTACTAGCCCTCAAAGACGCCATGTTGAAGATCAACACCAAAGTCCTTTGCCATGACACGCATGTGCGCTTCGATATCATCCTCCATACC